CCCCCCCCCCACACACACACACACACACACACCTCCTTTTCTACAGGGGTGATGGGCAAATTCTTCAGTGGCTTGTTGTTGATGTTCATGTGGCTACAGTACGGGCTCGTTCTTCCACCTCTTCTCCTCCTCTTATTTGTTGCTGGCTGCTATAGACCCCCTACCACCACATCTAAAAACCTGTTGTCGGTAATGCAGTTTCTATCTAATTCTAATCAAGGACTGTTCACACCCGGGTTTTGAACTGTTTGACTTGCTACAAGCGCTACAGGTGCATCAGAACACAAACAAACAGATTCAAGAACAGTTTTTTCCTGAAAGCCATCACCACACTGAACTCACACATGCACTGATTTAATCATCTAACCTCCCAAACCCCTGGACTTCTATTGTGCAACACTACTGACATTTCATACTCTCAATCACCTTAACTACCTCCATAATATCCATAATGTGCAATATAATTGTGAAATACTTGTATTTTTTTTACTTTCATTATTATATCTATATTGCGTTACATTTTTTATATTTTTAGTGTGTGTTTAGTGTGTGTTTTCTTAAGGCGTGTTTTTGCACTGGAAAAAGGAGTGGCTCTTAATTTCATTGTACTGCGTATAATGACAATAAAGTCATTCTGATTTACATCCCAATGAAATTGTTCTGGTAGGTGATTTTAATTTAGGCCCTATTTACATGGACACGATGGGGGGAAACATAGTTTTTTTCGTATGTTAATTAGAAGAAAAGATTTGCGTTGACACGGTCGGATTTAGGGTTTACATGCATCCGCAGGAATCCCCCCCGACCTCCCAAATCTGCTGTAGTTACCATGCCGGGTCATTAGATGGCGCTGTGAATTTTGTACCTTCACCTAATGTGCATGCATGCTGCCTCAGCACGCTCTTTTCCTCTGGGCTAAAAGCTCAGCTAACAACATCTTAACAACTAGTTAAAGCTGGATTTTGGCTGGATTGTGGATAAGAATCAACAGATTTGATGCCAAGTGGGACCGCTTCGTCTAACAGCTCCACACCGGTCGCTGAGTGGACCAGAACCGAGTCGATGATGTCGGACTTTACTCCGTGATAATCAGTAGCTGATTTACTGCAGGTAAATCAAATGTTCTTAATAATGTTAGCTTGTGTTGACTTTGATTACAAAACAACCAACTGAGTTTTTATTTTTCCTGAAAGAAGAAAAAGCTGTCCTTCCAGCAGGTGGACCAGAATGAAGCTCGGCCCAGGTGCAAAGCAGGAGGACGTTGAAGAGAGAGATGTTGGATGAACTATTTATTTAAAATTCCCATCAGTTCTTTTATTCAATCCATTCAATATTTTAAGCTGCATTAATCAAAGGAGTGACAGCCTGAACGAGCCAGATGAACAATGTGGGACATCCAGGATGCAAACAAGAGTCCAGTTCATTAACGCAGTTTACAGTTCATTTGTTTTTAATAGTGTGTTCAGTTTAATTATCAGTGTTTGTGTGACGTACAGTTTGTGGTGTTGAATAAATAAATAAAATAAAAATGAAACCAGATGTCTTCAAGTTTAATAACATGCAATATGTTTAGCATCATTTTAATCACATAATTTGAATTACATAATGTCCAGATAGCTTCATTATATATCTCAAACTTAAGATAAATTACTGTTTGTTATTATTAAACTGTTATTATTTAGCACATTTTGTATGTTATAGTGCAGCGGGATGTGTGCGCGTGCCTCGTTCTATAAACAGCGACATTAGAACTGGATCAGATTGTGTCTTTTCCAACACAGATGTTGGTCACAGCACCTGGAATCTGACGTAGATTAACTACGAGAATAAAAATATATTCCATCAGTCGTAGTTCTGATAGCAGTGTATCCGCCGCCATGTTGAAGATAGAAATATGCCGTCTGCCTGCACGTGTGTGTGCACATGTGGTTTAACACAAAGCCGGACTTTCTAGGAAAATGAGCTAGAGTTCGATTAAAGCGGACTACACAGGGCTGGTGTGAATGCACCCTGGCTCTCTCCTGTATCTGAAGAATTTAAAGAATTTGTCTTCAAACCTTAAGGCTCCAGTATACTGCCACGTACGTCCATTCACGCATACGTACGTGTGTACTGTACGCAGAGGGTTCAGACATGATACTCCAGTGTACATCCCGAGCAGCTACAGAGCAGCTTCACAGACAAGGGGCGTTTACCTTCGGGACAAATTGAGGTCGCCGATTGGTCATTTGCTGACACGCCTACTGGATTGATTGACAGGTCGGAAAAAAGAAAAAAAAGCGAGCGCTGTCAGCCTCAGCCACAGCGGTGTTCTGTGTTTATATGTTGTTAATAAAAAGATCTAAAAAATAAAAAAAACAGGGAGCGCTGGATCTACAGCCCACACATCAGACCAGCCCACCAGGAAATTTCCAGACCCTCCCGTAGCCACGCTGGACCTGAGTTTAATTCACTCGTGACAAATTCCTCCATTTCTCACCATTTCAGTCATGGCATCAACGGAGGAGGAAGAGATCACTGCCTCTTGGCAACAAAACAAAATAAAACGCCAGATCAGGGATGAAGAAGGGGAATTTAATACATTGGTGTCGCATACAAAACAGTCCGTCGCTGGACAGTTTATTGTGCGACACCGCGTACGCGTTTGCGGTCGTAAAAATTTGCGCTTTGCACGGACATGCCCTGGGGGGTACACTCGTACCTCTGCGTACGTATGTGCGTACCTCTGCGTATGGATGTACACAGCAGTATACTGGGGGCTTTAGTTAGATCATTGATATTCTCACTCGGCCTAATCCAAAGTGCTCTGCCAAATCATCTCTTCTAAATTTTATCATCACAAACATGCCACATGGACTGGATTTGGTATTTTTACAAATGATCTAAGTGATCACTGTATAGTTGCTGTTAGAGATACAAAAATGTCTTGTTTCAAACCTAGAAAGATTCTAAAACGGAATAAGAAGCATTTTTGTGAACACGCTTTTCTTTGGGATCTGTTCCACTTTGACTGGCATCGCATATCATTAAATGATGCTGTGAATCTTGCTTGGAACTATTTTCATAATAGTTTCATTGATTTTGTAAATAAACACACTCCTTTGTCACTTCAAAATAAAGGGCCAGGATAGCCCCTGGTTTACTTAGCTGGCCTCTTGCATAGAATGGACCAACTTTGAGCAACAGCAAGACAGTCTGGTTCAGACACCCATTGGTTGCAATTTCGTCAATTACGGAATCGCTGTCCAGCTTCCATTAAAGCTGCAAAATGAAATTACTTTTTATCTCATACCACCAAAAATCTAAATGATTCTATGAGTTTCTGGAAAACTATTAAATCTCTTTATGGCAGCAGTCGCTCATCTGATCTGGCACTACAATTATTTGTTGACTCTGTTTCTGTGTCAGATAAGTATGAGATGCTAAATTGTTTCAGCAAACATTTGTTCCTGTAATGTTCAGCATCCCCCTGCTGACCCCTCATCTAGTCATGCCTCTGCTCCTCATGCCATGTTTCTACACATCTCTACCCTTTCATGACATGTTCACGTCTCCTGTCTCACTCTCAGTCCCTCCTGCCAAAGTTTCTGCCCTTCTTGCCAAAATTTCTGTTCTTCAGCTTTTATTTGCCTGTCACCCATCATTGCTCACATCAGCTCCTGTCTGTCAACTGTTCACCACGCCAATTCAGCCTAAGCACAGCAATCAACCTTCATTTCATGCACCTGTTCAGCTCCCTATTTAAGTTCCATGCTCACTCTCTGTCCCTGCCAAATTATTATACCTTCCATGGTCCCTAATATCAAGCCATTCTTGTTCTTGTCCACGCCTGATGTTCATTCCTTGTTCTCTGGATTTTTGACCATTTTTTTACCTTTTGGATTCCCTGTTTTTGCCTACTCCTCATCTGGTTTTGGACTCTGCTTTCTGCCCACGATATCAACCCTGTTCCTGATTATCATGACTATGCCTCACGGTTCATGACCCCTGCTTCGATAACCGGACTCTGTTATTGGATTTTCCCCTCAAACCACATTATTGCAGATTTTCTCTGCAGCAGGACCAGTGATGTAATCGCTGCAGACTTAACAGGTGACTCTCACGCTCTACCTGCCTGTTAACACCTGTCAATGCAGCTGATCCTGACTTCTCACCCACAGCCAATAATAAATAAAAACTGTTTTTAAAATAAATAAGAACTGTTATTACTCTTTTGTACTCCTGTGTCTGGCTTATTCTGAATCCAAATCCGAACATGACAGTTACCTCCAGTTCCTTGTAATGCCCCTTTTAGAGAGTTAGGGTTAGTTAGTTAGAGAGTCAAACCCCCCAAAAAACAACTTTTTTTTATTAGGCTTTTACTGCTTTTGTAAGCAAATCACTTTGACATGATAGTTTTAAAACATAACAAAAGGAAGCTATAAGATTTAGTTTTTATCAACAGGTCACCAAATGGATATTAACATATAAAACGAATAGCCTAAAAAAAATCAACTCAAAAGATAGGCTATTATACATATGAACAAAAATATTATTAGAGCAAAATTATTTGGAAAAATACAGAACAAGACTATTTTAATTTAGATCTAAAAGAAAGTCGTGCAGATGAGTCACGCTGTCGCTGATGACGGAGCGATTTAACCCCTCTCTGGGCCGTTGAGCAAGGCCCTTATCCCCAACCATCTTCTCCTTAAACAGGTCTCTGTTGAAAATGAGTTCTCGTGACTCAGTGAGACTACCTGGATAAATAAAGGGTAAATCTTTTTTTTTTTTTGCAGTTAAATTCAAAGCAGTATGCTCCTTAGATACATAGTGTAAAATTGTTATTTTTATATATGAATGTTTCTGTTCAATGCCCTGAGACGACTTCTGTTGTGACTTGGAACTATGTGAATTTAATTTAATTTGCACCATCTTACTTGAATAAACGATCTTTGTTTCTTGCGTCATGGCAGAGGGCGTGTCCAAATGAGCGCCGTCATGACTGAAGGAGTGGGCGTGTCTTAAAGAGCGCCAGGGCGGCTGCTGATAGACTGACGGCCGGCTGGTTATAAAATGTGAACGTGCCCGGGTTGCAGCAGAAGCCTCGCGCTGTCCGCGTGCTCGTCAAACCGAATAAAAGACGCTCGAGGAGCGGTTCTGAAAAGCTGCAGAGGTCACGGCTCGTTCTCCCGGAAGTATCTGTGAGTACCCCTCGTTTATCCGCGCGTGCTTGAGCAGCAGTGGACGTTCGGCTCCGTCCGTTTGAAGCTGAACAGCTCGTGACCCACGGAGCTCACCGGCCGGTTCGGCCCGGCCCGGTGGGAGGCTCAGTGGGGGGGGGGGGGGGGGGGGTCCTCACTGAGTCGGTCAGAGTCCGGTGTTGTGCCACATTTGGTATCCCCGAAATAATCTGTTCCCCGACACGGAGTAAAAAAGACATTTATTCCGTCAACTTCATGAATATTTGAGTTTGTGTGTCCTTGAGACATCGAGTGATCTTTTCTCTGCGGGGAACAGAAGAATAACGACTTTATTGTTTTATTCCGGGCCATTAAACCCTTTTTGTAGCTCTAAATACATGGAAGCTGTTTAATTTTCAGTTTTCATCCAGGGTTCGGGTTTATCTGTTAACAGGCAGATTTATTGCAACATTGTTCATTATCTGTGCGTCCTTGTGCACATCAGTTCTGTTTGTGCACGATCAGTCAAAACCTTTTAGGTTTGCAGGCTGCAGTTAGTGCAGAGGTCAGAGGTCACAGGAAGCTCCTGCAGGGCTCTGCAACCATCACAAATAAAAGTTTACTTTATCAACGTAGTCTCTTTAAATGAACAAAGTTTTTATCTCCGTGTGTACTAGAGGACAACACGGGAGTGGATTTTCACTCCCGTCCTGTCCTGGTCCCACAGAAAAAATCCTGTCCTGTCCCACTCCTGGTAACAAGACTCCCGCTCCTGTCCTGCTCCTGTTTTTCATTTAATTTTTAGGAAATGCATTGAATTTGATTTGATCTTCTACCCATTCCTGTTTAAATTACTTTGTGTTGTGCAGTTTAATTTCAAAAGATATGGCAACAGGAACAGTTCATCTGTGGTGAAATAGAGACATTTATTTCCTTAATCCAAACAAGAACCTTCACTAAATGTCATAAAACAAATAATCCATGGTCTGTAGTCCATATAATGTTTCTACGGAGGATCAGCTGATGAGTCTGTTTCTGGCTCTTTTGAAGGTCAGTTCCAGTAAAAACAAAAAATCTAAACCAGTCCATGGGTCACACCATGTCTACCTTAGATGAAAGAACCCAAACACAACAAGTTGCATTTTACTAATTTATTGAGCAGTTGTTTCCTTTTAAACAGTGACATCACTGTCATGTTTTAAATAGTTTAAACAAAAGAAAAAACAAAAATAATGTACCAAGCAGAGAACAAATAATGTTTAAAGGCATTATTATACACTGGATGACGTCCTCCAGAAGTTCAGTCTGTGTGGTCGAGGTAACGAGCTCGTTTGGGTGAAGCATGATGTCGTGCATCTTCCCAGACTTCAGAGCTTCATTTACAGACTGGACCATTGCAGGTCTGGTGTTCCACCTCATCTCTCCACAGCTGGACCAGTCCAGAGCCTTGTGGAACCTGAAAGTGACAGAAGACGTGCACGAGTCAAAATAGTGTCACAGTGACTACAAGTTACAATCTGTTGGCCTTTCTTTTGGAAAAAATATTTTATCAAAAACAAGAGATTTACAATTGAAATTAAGTAAAAAAAAAAAAGTGACATTTGCAATTATAAATCACAGAAGCTCATTATTTATTTCACTTATCATATTTTATAATTATTAATGAGCCTCACAGGCAGAGATTACAAGATGTTCTGTATCTTACCTGCTCTGTTGAAGTGTGGGACAAGGGTCTTTGTGTCCAAGGCTGTTTAACAGTTTGCTTCCAGAGCTAACAGCTTCCTGTGTTAGGTAGAAAAATATAATTAAATTAAAGACAAACAAAAAGCTTAGTGCTACTTCTTGTGCCATGCTTTATAAAACACTTATTGAATAAAGGATTTACTTATGTAGGTAAACATAGATGTTTTAAAAACCTGTTAAAATACACTAGAATGCAGGAACTAGCTGCTGCTTTATTTAAAAAGTGATGGGGGAGGACCCACAGACCTCGCACCAATATGTCCCCCCCACAATAACAGTTATTATAATTTATATGTAACCAGCCTTTCATATAAAAACTGGGATATTTTTACCGGAGAATGCGTGCACTAACGAGTTTAATGTTGTACTGACGTGGTTACAGCCGACCGTAACTATTTACACAATAAAGTGATGGTTATTCACGTTTTTCCTCGATTCCAGTATCCAGCAGGACGTCACAATATAAAAACTGGGATATTTTTACCGGAGAATGCGTGCACTTTAACCAGGTAGAGTTCGGTTGTTTTTTTACTTTACAAACAGCAACAGATAATGAAGATTTTAACCTAAAAACCCACATAACAAAACAGAGCATAATTTTTAAATTGAAAGGGACAAGGTGGAGAAAAATGTGCTGTTTGAGTTCATTTACTGACGGTAAGCTGAGACTAAAGTTTAAATCAGCACAGCACCAACACAACTCTCATGAAGTTCAGGTTATTTGACCCTTTCCTGCCCGTTCTGTGACTTTAATAGACAGACACTTACTTCTTACCTTGCGTTGCAAACTATTTTCAGTTACTTGGTACGGCATCGCTGCTCCTCCCACCATCTTGGTGAAAAGCTACGGTTGGAACGGTTGACTTCTGGGAAATGTAGTCCTTTTGACTTGTGTTAAAGTGAAGGCTTACTGAAAGAAAACTACAAAATAGCTGCGCCCGTGCTTTTTTTTTTTTTTTTTTTTTCTCCAATTTTCATTTTTGGTTATTGGTCGGTTCCCGCTCCTGTCTGCTCCCGTTAGCTTTCAGTCCGGTCACGTCCCGGTCACGTGAGTTTTAATGAGGTTGACTCCGGTCATTCCGGCCGGAATCACGTGACCCGCGGTACTCCGGGAAAAAATGTCATCCTCTAGTGTGTACTACAGTCTAGCTTGCATGGCAAAAGTTTTTTTTCCTCATGGTGTTACAAAAAATAATTTTTAGTTCTGTACAAGAAATCCCCCCCCCCTTTTTTTATTTATTTTTTATTAAAAGATCTATGCAGTCAATACAGTTCTTCCCACATTTTGTAGAAAGTAAATAAATATTCCTAAAGAGGAAACATGAAAGATGCTTCAGAATATATTTTTTTATTGTTTTTGCTCAAATGGACCAAACTATTTTTTTTCCAGGCCGGTCACGGCAAATCAAAACCTCTTGTCTTGTCGAAGCTCCAAAAATTCACGGTTGAAACTCGTGCCATCGTGTAAAAAGTTGTTTTTTTTTTCTCTGTAAAAAGAAGCTGAGAACTTTGTTTACTGATTTTTTATTTATTTATTTTTTAATTAAAAACTTTGTTTGAAAGCTACTATGCTTAAGAGCTCAAACCACACGAGCTTCTGCCATTTTGAGAACTGGAAAACAGGAAGGCGAGACGGCCCATGTCACGTCACGGGGCCTCTCTCCCATTTTTCTTAAAGACACGCTGCTCACTCCCTCACTGTCCATCCTTCAGCTCAAACCGTTGTATACTGCCATCCAGTGGTCAAAAAAGGTACTACATGCAAAAATTAACCATCCATCCATCCATTATCTTTACCCGCTTATTCCATTTTGGGTCACGGGGGTCGCTGGTGCCCATGTCCAGCAATCACTGTGCGAGGGGCGGGGCACACCCTGGACAGGTCTCCAGTCCATCACAGGGACACATAGAGACAAACGAGACAAACAACCATTCACTCTCTCACCTAGGGACAATTTAGAGTTACCAATCAGCCTAACATGCATGTTTTTGGTCTGTGGGAGGAAACCGGAGCACCCGGAGAAAACCCACGCATGCACGGAGAGAACATGCAAACTCCACCCAGAAAGGCCCCTGGACCGGGGTTTGAACCAGGGACCTGCTCACTGAGAGGCAGCAGCTCTACCAGTTGCACCACCGTGCTGCCCCAAAAATTAACCAACATTTCTTTTTTCAATTTGATAATTACTAATTCTTGTCAAATTTCAAACAATATTATCCTTTATCGCAATAATTTTTGAGACAATCGCCCAGCAAAATTTATCGTGACAGGCCTAGCTTTAAATGCTAAAATCCAAGCATTTAAACCAGGAAACAAGCGCTTTTTTTATTTATTTATTTATTTATTTTTAAGTTTTAATCCGTATTTAAAAAAAAAAAACGAACTGAACTTGTCGTGACTCTGGCAGCTCTTTTGTTCTTCCGTTGTAAATAAAATCATCAGCTGTCTGGATGCTGCAGATGGATTAGACCAGAGCCCTGTAAAGAGAGAGCTGCGACACTCTTTGAACTCGCCGATACGCGGTCACGTGGTTCATGCAGCTCCCCATAGTTCCAAACAGCTCATCGCTGTCAGTCAGTTTGAGCAGCTGCTGGCACAACATAACACAAAAATCGACTTTTCTTACTTTACCTGACGTCTTTCAGTAATTATTGAGCAGTAACGAACTGATTACTTAACCGATTACTGATTATTTCACAAACTATGCATTTTATCAAAGCATTTTTAGAAGCGGCTGATACATTTATCATTAAATTTTAGAAGGAAACGAGACTGCAAACACATATTTGTTAGAAAAAATAATGTATATGCAATACAATGATCAATATAGCCATGTCAGTGTTTTATAACGTTACACACGATAAAAAAAAGATCAGAGTAACTCCTGTTATAAAACTATTTGTGATGTTCTCTGCAGGATAATGCTCCACCTTGTCCTCTAAGAACTTCAGATCTGCTCCATCTTACCTCAGATCATCTGGATGAATTCTTGATTTCTATAGAAGATATTAATTCAACCTTTATTTAAACAGGTTCGTCCCATTGAGCCACGAGGACTCTTTTACAAGAGAGACTGAATATAATTGTTGTATTTGTCGTTTTTCTATGGCAACCAAGTACCTGATAACTGAGTTGATTGTAGCCTGACAACTATTGTAAAACTGTAATTCATTGATTAAAATGTTAATTTAAATGAAACTGTTTCTAGTTAAAATCATAACAGATGACAAAATAAGTGTTAACTGTGCAAAAATTAATTTCCAAACAATTATAAAAT